ATATATATATATATATATATATATATATATATATATATATATATATATATATATATATAAAACATATACACATATACACACACACATATATACATATGCACATATATATCCATATACATCCATGTATGTATACCTAATTGTGTTTAGAATCCAAATATCCATTTCCCCCAATAAAGAGCAGCTTCATAATAATAGGGTTTAAAACTACAGTTCAAAATACAAGTTCACCCCATTCAAATCCCTTTCTTTCATTATTATTATTTCTTATTATTATTATAAATCCCTTTCTTTCAAAGCCTTCAGTTTGTCAAAAGCCATCCAAGAGAAGGGCTGCAAGGAGGGAGTCCTTCCAGCCTCCCAAGGCTGTCCCATCCCTCTGGATTACAACTCTTATCAAGGACCTCACTGAGTGGAGGATGATGGGCCCTGCAGTGCCATGCGCCTAGAGGCTGCCCAGAGGATGCTTGGTGTGATGCAAGGATGCTGTCCCAAAGTATCCCTTGGAAGGCAGCGGCATCTTGATCCTGGTTTCCTTGGGAAGGGAAAGAGCCTGGTTCCCCCTTGCCACCAAGGCTGCATCTACACCGCAGGATCAGTGCGGTCTGACGCCGCTTTAACTGCCACGGCTCAATGCTATAGAATTATGGAGCTTGTCGTTTTGTGAGATACACTCGTCCCTCCACGTTTGCGGATTTGACTTTTGCGGATTTGATTATTCACGGATTTTATTGATATGTTCTCTCTAGGAAAATCTAGGTCCTCCAGTGCAACTCTGTGGTCAACTTTAACCAAAAAGTTGCACTGAAGGACCTAGAGATTCCTAGAGAGAAGACTCCACTGGGCATTTGTAGCTCCTCCAGTGCAATTCTATGGTCAATGTCTGGCAGATGTTGACCATAGAGTTGCACCGGAGGACCTAGAGATTCCTAGAGAAGTATTATCTTAGTTTAAAAACACGGTGTTTTTGTTATTTGCAGTTTTTCTGCATTCATGGGGGTCCTGTGCCCCTAAGCCAGGGATAGGCAACCTAAGGCCCGGGGGGCCGGATGCGGCCCTCCGAGGCCTTTGGACCAGCCCCAGGCCAGTCCTGCCACCGCCACCCCCCACTGCCCGCCATGATGATATTGATTATTGTTGTTATTACTTGTTCTTGGGGTTTTCTTGGCAAAATCTCCACAGGGGTTTTGCCATGGCTTTTCTGGGGCTGAGAGAGTGTGCATGCATATATTTTTTCATTTTTAAAATTTTAAAATTTTATTTATTTATTTATTTTTGGTGCTTCGGCCCCCCAATTGTCTGAGGGACAGCAACCTGGCCCCCGGCTCAAAAAGGTTGCCTACCCCTGCCCTAAGCGAATGTGGAGGGATGAGTGTATTTAGCCTTTTCTGCCAGAGAAAACTGCAGCATTCAGCCGTAGCAGTGAAAGTGGTGTCAAACTGGATTATTTCTGCCGTGCAGATGCAGCCAGTGTCATCTTGAAGGGACGTTGCATTCACTCTTTTCGTACATCACACACCTGTCCACACCATGGCCGTAAGTTTTTCATTGGCAGCATCTGCACTGCAGAAATAATCCAGTTTGACACTGCTTTCGCTGCCCTGGCTCAGTGCTGTGGAATTCTGGGATTTGTCATTTTGTGAGCTATTTAGCCTTCTCTGTCAGAGAACTCTGGTGTCGTGACAAACTACAAATTGAGCCATGGGAATTAAAGCAGTGTCAAACTGTTTTATTTTTGCAGTGCAGATGAGGTCTTCATTATCAGGGGCAGCTTTTGATGCCCAGAAGAAAATAAAAGAGACATCCTTGAAGCGTCAGGGATGGCATCTTCGGTCCAAATCTTCAAGGGTAAAATTTTGGTATTAAACCGCCCGCAGTCCCACATCTACACCGTAATTGGAGGATCTTGCGTTTTCTAGTTAGGATGAAAGGGGTTAGAAGAAAGAAAGAGCCTCTCATTTGGAAATGAGACAATTGCTGGCTTGGGCTCCTGGCGTCTGCAAAGTCCTGACTCAAAGCCTTTGTTTAGTCTGATTTGGTTCTAACTCCAGGTTTGGGATTTAGTAATAATGGGGTCCGGTTAATCAAAATGAGCTCCACAGTCTTGCAACAAGGGAGCCTTTGGTTTACATTTTCGATACAATAACTCCCTCTTGGAAAGAGAAGTTGGTAGCATGAGTTTTTGTAGACTGGAGTCTACTTCCGACTCTGTGATTCTGTGATTCCTGAGATGCATGGAGTGGAAAGAAGTTGGTAGTATGAGCTTTCATAGACTTGGTTCGCTTCTTCAGATGCATGGAGTGGAAGGAAGTTGGTAGCATTAGCTATTGTAGACTTGAGTCTACTTCCTCAGATGTATGGAGTAGAAAGAAGCTGGTAGCATGAGCTTGCATAGACTTGAGTCTACTTCTTCAGATGCATGGAGTGGAAGGAAACTGGGAGCATGAGCTTTTGTAGATTTGCTCTACTTCTTCAGATGCATGGAGGGTCGAGATAGACCTTAAGGTGCATCTGAAGAAGTAAACTCAAGTCTGCAAAAGCTCATGCTACTAATTTCCTTCCACTCCATGCTTTTGAGGAAGTAGACTCAAGTCTATGAAATCTCATGCTCCCAGCTTCTTTCTTTCAGTTAGTCTCAAAAGTTCTGCAAGATCCCTTTGCATATAGACCAACACGGCTATATCTCTGAATTCTTCCCAGCTCCCTCATAGAGCTTTGTCGTTTCCAGACCCTTGCTTGACCATTTTGGTCATCCTCCTCTGCACACGCTCCATTTTGTCGATGTCCTTCTTGAATTGTGGTGACCAGAACTGGACACAGAATTCCAGGTGAAGTCTGGCCAAAGCAGAATAGAGTGGTGCTATTCCTCCTCCCACTGCCACTCCTATCATCCCCAGTCATTGGCCATCTGTAGCTGATGGAAGCCTGTGAAACCTAGATTCCCCAGCGCTAGCCAAAAAGGGATGCTCTCGTCCTAACAGGGGCTTTTCCTTAGTTAGAATCCTAGAATCCTAGAGTTGGTTCCCATAGAGAGACTCCAAGGGCCATCCAGTCCAACCTCCTTCTGCCATGCAGGAACTCACAATCAAAGCATCCCTGACAGATGGCCATCCAGCCTCTGTTTAAAGTCCTCCTCCAAAGAAGGAGACTCTTGAATGCTCTGTTGAGAGCAAGCAGTTCTTATGTGGTTCATGGTGGTTGTTGTTGTTGGTTTTAGTCCCTGTGCCAAAAACAAAATGCAAGGAAAGCTGAATTAATTCCCGGAGTTACAGAAAAACAAAACAGTAAAAACAAAAACAAAGGGGAGGGGGAAAAAAAGGAAAAGTAGTCTGGTGCCTTAGCTATTTATTTAATTTTGGATTTTTGTGGCTTTTCTAGGCACACCCTCTCTCTCACACACACACACACGCACATACACACAGATACAGAGATACTGAACAGTGATCCAAGTTATCACAAATTGCCCTATAGCTGGGGCCCCTTTCCATGCTTCTCTATGTGGGCCACATGGACACATTATTTGGATTGGAAGGGATGCAATGCAGCCTCAGCAGAGAGAGGATGATGGCATTTGGCTTGACAGCTGGACATACGAAAGAGATCTAGGAGTCTTTAGTGGACCACAGGCTGAACATGAGCCAACAGTTTAGTGCAGCAGCTAAAAAAGCCAATATGATCCTAGGCTGCATCAGTAGGAATGTAGTGTCTAGATTGAAGGATGTAATAGTTCCTCTCAATTCTGCTTTGGCCAGACTTCAAAGAGGAGATTAAAGGGTTACATGACAGCCCTGTTTCAATATCTGAAGGGATGTCATGTTGAGGGTGGAGCAAGCTTGTTTTCTGCAGCCCCAGAGAATAGGATCTGGAGCAGGGGCAGGCAACCTTTCTGA